AATATTCCTGATTACACAAGTAAACGGGCTTCATGTTGACCAATTTAAGTGGATTTTAATGTTGAGCGCACACATCATCATCCAGCATGCAACCACACACACACGACACGGATACAGTACATGATTATATACAGGTGTGATTATATACAGGTGTGATTTTATACTGAAGCTCAAACGCGTTTGGTTTGGATCTTCAGTCAGCCCTGTTGTCCCCTTATTTGTGTATTATTGAGTAGGACAGACTCCAATCTGACCAGTTATATGCTTGTTTTTTTTTTTTTTTGTTGTTCTTTTAACATTTTTGTTTATAAATCAAATATTTTAGCACTTCTTTACCTCCTTTTGTGACATGCATCACATCTATATGTGTAAAGTGCTACAACAGACCATTTATATATATATAAAAAACAATGAATGCAAACACACACTTGTAGACACAATCTGAGGACTGCATTCTCTGACTGCAAATCGGATTTAAACATGGTAAAATGTGTTAAATGCAGTCTGATTTGTAGCTGAAAGCAAAAAAAAAAAAGAGTAATCTACAAAGATGGAGGATTTATAAAACTGTGTATGGCGGGTGTTGATGGGTCTCTGTTTTATAGGGGTGAATTCAGGTTGATTTGGACACTTTCCCCAAGCATTTCAATGGGAAAAAATGTCCCGATTAACCTAAATTCACCCTAATTGCTGACGATTTGAACTGGTTTTACTTCCTTATGACCTCTTCACACATACAAACACATCCACACATATACCTTTGTCACCAGAACACGCACATGTAAAATATAACGCATGCACACACACACTGTTTCTGCTCATCGGGTGGAGCGTATGTTCTTGTACTGGCAGAGCAGCAGGTGTTTGAAGGTCTTTTTGAAGGTGATGTTGCAGAGGGCGTAGCAGGCGGGGTTGATCGTGCTGTTGATGTAGCAGAGCCAGTATCCGATGGTCCACACGGTGTTGGGAATGCAGCTGGAGCAGAAGGTGTTGATCAGGACCATGACGTTGTAAGGCGTCCAAGTTGCAACAAACGCCACCAATATGGCCATAATGGTGCGCGTAACCTTCTTTTCCCGAGAAGACGGGGCCTTTTTCTTCTTTGGCGGCTGCTTGGTCATTTTCACGATTTTCCTCGCCACGTGATTCTGCCTTTCGGTCGCCGGAACGATCTCTACAGTTGCGTTCGAAGGCGCGTAGCAGTCTCCTTTTGGTGATTTGGTGTTGATCTTGATGCAGGTCAGTTTGGATCCGCCAGCTTTGGCGCGATGCCTAGCAGGAGCTTGGTTTTCATCGGCTATTGATGGCGCCACCACCTCCTCTTTTTGATTGTTTACGGCGCCACTTCCAGAGGTGGAGTCATTTGAGCTTTCTTTCTCCTCGTTTCCTCGTCCGCCATCTTCCGCTTCTCCACTCGCCGTTGATGGCGCTTTGCCATTCTGGAGTTTGGCATCATGTTGGATGGCGGCGTCATCTGTTAGCTGGGTCTGTCCTCGATCTGTTTCTTCAGCTGTTAGGTTGTTGTTGGTGGGTTTGTTGGTTGTGTTTTCACGGATCTGATTGGAAGAGGCCACGTCGAGGTTGGCACCCGATGGCTTGCGGTTGTCCTTCTTGACGCGGCTCTTGCTAGCACGGGAAATCTGCCAGTACAGCACCATCATGATGATCACAGGCAGGTAGAAAGCAGCTATAGCTGTGCCGAAAGTGACCGCGGCGTTGGAGAAGAACTGAATATAGCACTCCTTCTCTGGCACTGTGCGCCCTCCAACAATAAACTGCCAGAATAGGATTGCCGGAGCCCAGAGAATGAAGGACAAAACCCATGCCGCCGCAATCATCATGCCGGCCATTTTGGTCGTCCTCTTCACTGGATAACTCAGTGGCTTGGTGACACAAAAGTAGCGATCGAAGCTAATAATCAGCAGGTTCATGACCGAGGCATTGCTAACCACGTAGTCCAGCGCCAACCACAAGTCGCACACAACCGGGCCAAGCGGCCAGTATCCGATCACAATGTAGACTGTGTACAAGTTCATAGAGCAAAGGCCAATGATTAGGTCAGCACAGGCCAGGCTAAACAAGAAGTAATTGTTGACAGTCTGCAAGCTTCTGTTTACCTTGATGGAAAGCATGACCAAGATGTTCCCGATAACGGTCACTAGGCTTAGTGAGCCGGCCACCAGTACAATGAACACCACCTCCACTGTCTTGTACGGGCTCTCGTCCACTGTCTCCACGGTCTCGTTGCCCTCAGAGGCGTTCCAGAAGGTGAAGTTTATTGTATCCATGGTGCTCAGGTACAGCTGGTCAGTTCACTATACGTATGACGACTCCCGACACCTATATGGGAGAAAAAGGACATTTAGTATGTTGCAAATTATGTGACAAAACATGGATTTGTCATTGTAAGATACTCCAAAATGAGAAAGACAAACAGTGCACTGTATGTAATTTAGGCCTACATACAGGGGCGTAGCAGCCATTATAAAAGTGGGGGTGACAAAATGGTGTGGTGATGTGACCCAAAGGTCAGTCCTTCCAGAAAAATGCGGAGTTTTTTTGTGATTGTTGCGGGCAAAAATCCTTGATTATGCGGCGATGGAATTGCAGGATATTTATGCAATTTTATGCGATGAAATTGCGGGAACTTGCAAAAACTGCGGTTTGATGAAAAAGAGAGAAAAAGTGATTCCCCAACACCCTGTTCTCACTAGGCTACTACCTTAATGTAAAGAGCTATTTCTTATTACTTCCTATGATAAGCAAACATACTACATCACAGAAAGTGCTGGAATATTTAATCTTGTTTTATTTCAGACCTTAATAAACACATGGCTCAAAATTACAAAACATTGATGAGTCAAACAAGTTCTGTAGCTTTACAAAAGGAATATGCTACAAGTTCTGTAAAAATGAATAAATAAAATATGAAAAAAATGTTTCCTGTTTTACAGTTTTTTTTTTAATGATGTTCATGTCGCTTAATTACGTCACTTCATAACATTCCCATGGCAACAGGGGGAAACGGCTGCTCTCGTGTGAAGCAAACGCAACATTTTTCAACTTTCTGCTAAGATATATGTGACTTTTTTTTGCAACAAAAATGCGGGGATTATGAAATCATACAAGCCCCGCATATTTTGCGTGGAAATCGGCAATTTATACGGCAAAAGTGCGGCGTATTTGAAAAAATGCCCCCGCATAAATATGCGGACTTTGGCTGATTATTGAATCATGCGATCGCATAATCGCGTTTTTCTGGAGTGACTGAAAGGTGATGTTCATAATAATAAATTCTAGATGGAATAGCAATTGGCATTTTACAGCACCCTAGTGCCAATTTTGGGAACATGCCATGATAGTTTACAGCAACCTATTTTTGTGAAATCATACTCGAAATAAAAAAATATTGCAGGACTTGGGACTTTCAGACAACTGTGGACATATATACTTTATTTTTATGAAATAAAGATATTTTATAATATTTACAATATTTCAGTTAAACTACACTTGAACAATAACTTTTATCTTACTAACAGTTGGACCAAAAAAAGTGTTCAATGAGTACATAACAGATTACATCTAGCCTACAGTAATTTTATACAACAGACATTTTATAAAAATATATCAATAAAACCTAAATCAATGTATTCGGTATTGGACATCAATTTAACATTGACATTAGATGTTGAATTTACATTGAATTTTGGTCACCCGACGTCGCAACCAAAATTTAACCAAATATCAACGTCTTATGACGTTGTGTGCCTGCTGGGAATAATCTGTTATCTTATGTCTCATTTAACAGACGCTTTTATCCAAAGCAACAAGTAGGAGAGCATTTAACACACACTCGGCACAATCCGGCGCGACGTGACGAGGCCATACGGGTTCTGTTGTCTTACACTTCTTACAGCGTTACAGTAGGTTAAATCATAATAAGGAAACTTTACCTGTGATTCATGTCATCGCGACATACTGTAACAGTGTGTGTTTGAAAAAAAAATGATGTAGTGCTCTGCTTTTTTTTCTGGGGTGCATTAGACGGCCAAACAGCAAAGCGACTAAACAAACACGAAAATTCGCAAGAGCAACAAAAGATTTGAAGCTCATGGCAGACGCGCCTATAGATGCTTCGCGCTGTGATTGGCTGAATGTTAGCTCACTCAAGTCTAAGTAACAAATCAGAGAACACGGGCGGAAAGAGGGAATGCATTAACGTCACTTCCCCGCCGGAACACGCCCCCCTCAGCGGACTGAGTGGCAGAAGAGCTGCTGCGTGACTGGAGGTAATAGGGGAAACTGCGTTAACGCGAGTAAAACAAACTATTATCAGTTTAAACTAAAAGTTGGACTCGATATAGTGTTCCTTACAACTTATCAAAGATCCAGTGATCCATGGATATTGACATGCAGCAGGAATCGTGTTTCCTGACATTTATATGTGCCTGATTTCGACGCCGGGGAAATAAATGAAGACAATTTGCCTGTAAACGTTTTATATAAATACAATATAGATAGGTCTAAATCCGAGTGATCACTTACATTAATGTTATACTGTATATGATCATATCGTCCAGCCCTAAAACTTGTATAGTTTTTTTGTCAGTGTTTATTTAAAAACATCCAATTATGCAGAATATAGTCTGTTCTGTAGCTTTTTGCAGTCTGTAAAAATATACAGTACCTCAGATTTCTGGTCAAATCTAGTTGTACAGTCAATCGCAAAGCTCTTTCCCGTTTTAGATGTGTTTTGTGTGATTTTCACGGCATTCACGCTGAAAACAAATGCTGCCGCTCAGTCTTTTTGCCACTTGTGGGCGTGACCGCATTCACTCCGGCCGACGGTGACGTCATGCGCATACCCTCTATTGGCGCGGAGTAAAAAAAAAATGCGGGGGACAGAATCACCTGTTTCTGAAACGTCCCCCCGGTTGCTACGCCCCTGCCTACATAAATGTATCTTACAAACAGTACCGTGACAGTGTCCAATGGTAAAGTGATGGTATCAAAAGATATTAAAGTGTTATTATTACAAATGTTGCATGACATGATTGCATGATTCCATAACAGTATCATAAATGCCAAGAAAACCATCAGACATAAGACTACAAGAATAAGAAGCCTGGTAATTGTTCACTATTAATAATTTTCTGATATGTAATTTTTATAGTATTTTTCATTTTAATTAATATCTGATTTATTCAATTGAATCTTAAGTGCTGAAATAATGTTTCTGTGTTTTATTTCTCTACTTATCCGGGGTTCTCAGAAGTCGTCATACGATGAATGAGAAATATTTTTTTGTGTGTTCCCATTTGCTCACATAGCGAAAGAAAAACACCACAAAAAAAGAGTTAAAAAAATAGTGAGAGATTGAGAACGGCAGTCAGAAGAGAGAGAAATATGTCAATTTGACCGTCACTCCCATTTGCTGAAACACCCTCACAGCAGCGTTAACTATTTTTTTTTAATTGAATGCAAAGGTAGTATAATACAAAGTGTAGTGTTATAAATGTACATAATAAATATATAAAATAAAAAAATATATAAAACTTTTCATGATTTACAATGCTAATGACTGTTAAAACGCGTCATCACAGTCTGTTAATATTTTCGCGCTGAAATTCAAATAACTGACGCGCGCCTGCAAGGAGAAACAGCGCCGCTCAGCCTCAGAGTTTACCTCACAATAAGTTTATAACGTAATAATGCTGATTTATAAAATGTAAAATAACAGAATAACCACCAATATAATCTGAAAAGCAGTCGCATTAACAGAAAGTGGTGAAGTTCAGCATGTTTGAAGACAAAAAGTTCACCTGAGGTGAGTGTTTCCCTGAACAAGTTGAATCCTCTCCCGTTCTACAGCGGTATTTATTACAGTAAGTGTGTTTTTTAATACGTCCCAACTGTGTATTTCGCACATCACAAATAAAACAACAACTAATATTCAAGTCATATTTCAAAGAAATATGGTTGGTATCCATGGAAACAGAGGAATAGTTGGACCGTGTGGTTTATTTGATTTAATATTCGGTGGCTTAGGCTACGTTAGTGTAATTGAACATGGAACCAATTATTTTTGGGCAGTTTCGATGATCACACACTCGTAAAACATCGAAATATATTGTTAGAGTGCCAATTCATCACGTCAATTAAAATGTGAGGGATGGGATTTCAACTAATGTGAATAATGAAACGGATGAAATTAAGTGAAAGTGAAATTTTAAGCACTGCTCGAACTTGAAAGCATTCGTGGCTTTCAACCTCTGCTTTAAAGTCAACAAGCACGCTTGTCTGATCCATCTCCAGCATTCAATTATGGGTTTACTTCAGGCCTGCTTTAGTCTTTCTGTCAACAACCATTTCTCGAATTGACAATTTGTTGTTTGAGGAGGATTAAATGTTTCGTTTTTCATTAAGTTTCTGTGTTCTAAACATCACCAGAATCTAATAACTTAACGTTATAACTTAAAATAATGAATCTCATGAAAACACGTCCAGGTTACATTTCAACCCAAAACCAAAATAACTAGAAAATATATTATGTATTAAGAAGAACATTTAGCCTGTTTTAGGGCCATTAAGATATTTTTATATATATAGCCTAGCCTATATAATTCTCATTGCTGTTATTTTACTGTATCTAATTAAAAATTACAGTACAAAGCAGGTGTATTATAAATGCTCATTGAAATGACCAAAATGATATTTTTATTAAACTTTTTTTGTATTATATAACGTTATATTGTTATATTAATAACATTTTTTCTTTTTTTTTGCAGTGAAGTGAGGAGACATCTTATTCAATTGTAATGAAAATAGTGTCAGAGGGCAAACAAATCTTAATGGTCCTAAAAATAGAAGAAGCCGACATCTGTGCATCATGGATGACTGCACACAACAGGTTGTATGAATTCAAGAGTTCGTTCTGTGTAACCTTACAGCTTTTTGATCCTTTAGACTGAAAATATCAGAAAAATGACAAATTGGTACTGTCAGTTTAATCTCCCGCTTCTGGCTCAGTCGTGCCTTTCCTCTTTGTATTAAAAATCAGGATTAGAGCAAAGGAACGGTTCCCATATGTGCGCCATGGGGCGAAATTAACCTAATGCTTGTCTGTCTCTCTCTCTCTCTCTCTCTCTCTCTCTCTGTGAATGTGAATAGATACGAGTCCGGTAATGGTGATTAGAGGGAAGAGGTTATCAGTCTTACAGAGCCACAGTTCACTCTGTTTTTCTCTATTAAAACGCTGCCTTATTTGCTGCTTTCCCCCTAAACAGCTTCTGAATAACCAGAGAGAATTCACTTATCTCCAGTGCCAGAAAGCCCTAATC